ATACTAATATTGATATTTTAAACTATTTTTTGCTATCATCAGATCCCATAATATCTGAATTAAGTTTACAAAGAAATCGCAGTAAAAAGAAAAAAACTGGAGCCAGATGCGATGAATCTGCTGGAAGCACCACACGCTGAATTACTTAATGAAATTGATAGGACAAACCAGTATCGCTACTGACTCCAGGTCTCTTCTTAAACTCTGTACATTTCTTTTATGAACTTCAGATTTCGTCGTATTATAAAATAGTCCCCTGAACTGTTTTTACTTCTATGTTCCCATATTAATATAAAGAACTTTTATTTTTCTGCTTGAGCTACTCTCTTAGTAGCCCAACAGAATTTATGGTTGTGGTTTTTAAAGTCTTCGATCCACAAAAATATATGAAGTTGGGGACACTTATTTTCATACTAAACTATAAACTTAAATGTAGAAAATAGGTTGCTATATGTTTAAAAATTAAAAATATCTTTTTTGAAAAGAGAACAGAGTTTCAACGAAATAAAAACAATATTATGAAAAAACAAACTTCACTGTTTTTATGTGGCCGTTGGAAAAACGTAAAAATGTGCTTAATACTTGGAAGTTCATGTATGGTTAAAAAAACATAAAAATACATTCATTAAGGGCCAATTATTCTCTCGGAAATATTATTAAACATAACATAACATAACTTTAAAATTTTGACTGGGTGGTAACCCGAAAATATGTATGGATTAAAACACGTCAGATTACCTTTCATTTGACACTGATATTGTCATATTTTTTATAATTTCTTTGACCATAGTTTAGGCTATAACTCCGGTACCGCTAGAGGCATCGAAGCAAGACTTAGCTTCAAATGTGCTCCTTCTAAAGTAGATTAGTATGTTAAAATTTGGGAATAATCCGCCATGGTTCGCAGGAGATATGAATTTTGTCGTGCTAGATGTGAGCTCTGAACCACTGTGGGACGTCAGGATTTTTTTTCAAATGACTTTGAAATTTTAGAGATATGATTAATTGGGAAATAACTGTTATCAAGCAACGTAAAAAATAAATGTTTGGAAATAACTCTTATTGGCGACGGAAAACATATTTCTCCTGGGTTATAACCCTTATCGGCCAAATACAAAATATTTCTCATATAATAACTGTTATGGAACAACGTTTTCCGATAAAACTACCCGAGACTTGTGCAAGTCAATATTAAAAAAAAATTGCAATTTTTTCTACGCTCTTAACCATATTTTACAGCACGATTTGGACACCAAAATCAAAACTAGACTAAAAAATTGAGCAGCAAGCATGAGCAAATATCAAAATGATTTTGATTTTAGCGCAATAACTGTGCAATATAGTACAAACAACCCCATACACCACAAAAACGACCGACGAAAGCCCGATATTGCGCAATGTTTTTGTGTGGTTTAGGTAGGGTTGCCAGCCGTACTATAATATATAGTATTATACTATTTTTTGGGTCTGCGTACTATATACTGTTAAAAAAAAATATTTTATGCAAAAATACTATATTTCTTCAGTTATAAATATAATTATATTTCAGTAATTTTCAAGAAAGAAATGCTTTAAAATGGATAACATTTATACTGAAATAACAATATTAAAAGAAATATATCTTACAACAAAGGTTCCACAGACCAAAAATGGCAGCATTTTTAAAAATACTCAGAATCGGCAGTTAACTACAGATTTTCAGTATATTCTGAGTTAACTACGCACTGTGAATTTGGCCCTTAGAAAGATTTACCAAATTTACTTAAAATTATTTCGCTTATGCTCTGTATTCCTGCAACTTCGGGATTCACAGAAAGAGTTTTTCTATTAAAATTGTGAAATGGTGAGATGAGAGAAATAAATCTACTATCTCACTATTAAAAAATGATTTATATTAATTTAAATATTGATTGCGATAAGCATATGATACTTTCAAAGAAATATATTTTTTATAGAGGAAGTGCATAAGAAAGAAAAACGATTTACACTTAAAAAGCATTTTTACTTTTTCTTAAAAAAATACTATATATGTTTGAAGTGTACTATATTTTTTCAGATTTTTTTGAAGATTTCTTAGAAAATGTTGGCAACCCTAGGTTTAGGGGCCCTATAGTAGCGGCGTGTGCAAAGAAATTGTATTTCCCTTATAAGAGTTATCAAATCAAACTTATAAATATCTACATATAAAATTTCAAGTCTTTAAATAACAAGAAAAATATTGTTTGCCTTTAAACTAATAATATTATTCATAGTATTCAAAACTGCATTTCTGTCAGCCAAAAGTATCAAAATGAGACATGTATGAACAAAAAAAGTATCAAAGTTTCATATCGTAAAATTTAGAAAAAAAGTATCAAAAATGATACAATTGTATCAAAACGGCAACGCTAGTTAAAACTCATCCAGTTAAGCAGGTAAGAAATTTAGTACTATTTTTATTCTTAACTTTGTCTTTAGAATGAAGTAAAGAATCAGTTGTATGAAGCTATATGTTAAAGTTAACCTATTTCGACGATTTTCAGAATTAGCTAAGGAAACATTAAAAAATAGTCATGTGCAAAATTTTAGTAAAATAACTTCCAAACTGAGGGAGTTTTTTATAAAATAGTTAAATTTTATCAAATTTTCAAGTACCGTTATCTCGAAAACCGAAGCCAATCTGGTACAACGGGGAATGCCATTGAATTTAGAACGTCCCAATTAAGTGAGTTCAACTTTCCAAATCTTTGCTCAAATTTACAACTTGCACAGCGTATCTATTTTGAACCCAACTTATTCTTTTGTTTTCTATTTCAGCGATCTAAATATTTATTCCTCGTCTAACTTTTGAAGCACTTGATCAAAATGAATTACACCTATATTTATCTAAATATTTATTAAACTATTACGAAGAGAATCATATATAAAATATAGGTGTGCCCTTGACCGTTCGTTAAAAATAAAATTTGGTTTGCCGGGCGGCAAAAGATGTCTTTTGGTCTAAAAATAAGCTGTGCAAAATTTTATTCGAATATGATAACTCTAAGTACTTGCGCGTTGCATTTGAAAATTTAGAAAACCATATGCATTCTGGGAAATTTTTTTTTAACAAAATAGTTGAGAGTCGTGAATTTTATAGTCATTTCCTATGTAAAATAACTCACACAATCTGAATATGAGGTTGAAAATTAAAAAAGTAGAATAGGTTTTAAGAATTTGCGAAATTATCGTTTTTCTTCAAAAAAAATAAAACAGCATTTTCAATTTTTTCCAAAAATATCCCGTTGTGATTATCACACCGCAAAAAGATCTCCACCAGATTAAAGGTCTTTGAAATCCCTACGAACCTGCTATACAATGTTTTGCAATCAAATTATCAGTTTAAGAGTTATCTGCCAATTTATTAGTGAAATCGGACTCAATTTTAAGTCGCATCGTTATTCTACTGTGAATTACACCTAAAAGCTGCAAACTTTTTGTTCTTATTTTTATGCTATGTTAAAGCTTATTTGATTTCAAAGTATATAGATCCAAATTTTTTGCAAATCGATTTGAAAATAGAAAAGTTATAGCAAATTTAGTAAATGACATTGGATTCAAGCAACGTATCGATACTGTACAGCACATTTGATTGTAAAATAAATTAAAATATATCATTTCCATTAGCATGTTATGCATATCGCAATTAGAAAAACAGCTGACAATAGGTTTGTTATTAAGCAATAGTTTGAAATATTTTTTAACAATTGTCACAAATTACCATGCCTTGGCTAGCAAAAAAGTTGATAAAATAAGATAAATTGAGATAGCAAAATAACATTTGATTTTTAGATAAAGTTTGGAAGTTTCTGCGGGATACATTTATACTTGTAAAACTGAAACAATGGTACTTATTGAATGTATTATGTATTTATATTATGATCCTTATTTTCAAGTAATACTACGCTCAAAAGAATGTCTAATAACCGCTTGAAAAGCTCATCTGGTCAACCTAGTGCCCAGTAGCCAAATTCAATAAAATGTGGCCAAATTTGATAAGAAAATAATATTTCAGAAAAAGCTTGTAAAAAATAAAACTGTGCCCACAAATTAAAAAATTAGACTTTTTTCGAAAGTATTCCTGTTTTTTAGATTTGCCCATATAATCAAATGATGCGCAATATACTAGATTTTGGTATCCGCAATAAACAAATTTCGGCTCTGGACTTCGTACTGTCAGACTGGCCTGCCCAGCACGATATCCAGCGCAACAACTGCAATAAATATACATATACTATACATAAGTAAAAAAAATAAAACTTCTAAGCATTGCCGCAGAAATTTTGAATATAATGACAGTTTGTAAGATTTGAAAATTTATTGTTATTTGCTACAGAAATATTGAATTGGATGCCGTACCCTTAACAGTAAAATGTGTTTCTTTTACATAACTTCCAAATACGTAAGCTTCCCATTGTTTAAATAAGGATGTTTTACTAAAAATTACAAAATGCTGCCCCACCCGTCACTAGTTAATTATTTTTTTTGTCAAATATAGTAACGCCGTCAAAGCATAAAATGGATCCTTATCATTATATTAACTACGTTCGAGAAAGCCGCTATGCACGAAATATTTAGATATAGTTTTATCTTAAATTGGAAACGAATCCATAAACTCAGAGAATTCAGAAAGAGGGGTGTCGTCGCTGTCTCATCCGTCACTCTTGGGAAAATCAAAATTTCTGTGTAAATTATATAACTAAGTTATATACGTTATTAAATAGTTTCGTGTTAAACTGATATCTGACTTCAGGTGTTAACAGTTTGAAACTGGTAAAAGAGAAATTACTTAAATTTTAAACAAAAGCCAGTTAAAATGTCACTGCCGTCCAGTTTGGAATGCCCCATATGTACATATATGTTTGTATATGAGTTGGCAACACTGCTCTTGACACTTCGTAGGACATCGCCATGTTAAAATAGACAGGTGAAATCATTGATTTGGTATAGATAAAGAGCCAGTACCGTACCTTTTCGGGCTAGTTCGGCGCGAGTTCTGAACCAGTTTTATTTGCTGCATGGCAAATAAGATGAAGCATACATACATACATACATATGTGTGTATGTATATATTTTGTAATCCCAATAAATTCTCTAACGAATATGGTGGAGTTTGGAGAGAACCTTTAATAAAACCTCCCCGCCACCTTCAAGAGATAAGAAGGAAACAACTAAAAAGAAAGCAGAAATGCATAAAACCAGCTGTTGGATTTATTCCCCTTACCATTTCAGCGTTGATGTAAGCTTTCAACGCATTCCAGCACCACTTTGCGTACTCTGAACTGAAAATGCATCACTCTCTAGTAGGGATTCCTCAATCTCAATGGCCCGATTTGCGAGATCGTTATGAGGAGCAGAAAAAGTTGTCATGCGGTTATAACACAATACAATGCTTTATTGAATGGAAGGCGCAAAATAGGGACGTGGATATAAATATATTCTCACTGAACGGAGAATGGCGAAATGATGGTACTTATGTGGGAATTGTAAGTGAACTTAACTTAGATTAACTTGTAAAATGTTGGCATAGAAAAAACTTAGGGCACTAATGTTGCTTAAACCCTGGAGACTCAGTCTAATTTTTTTTTGTAAAATTTTTTCACAACTTCTAGATCAATGCAGTATCAATCAGTTATGTATTCATCAATACACTCAGTGATGATCAGCAGAGGCTTTATACTGCGCTCAGTGCGCTGAAGCTCAATAAACCTTATATGATACTTGGCTATCATGAACGTTTGATGCCCACTGTGGAACAACATTTTGTGGATAAGGGTTTCAAAATAGAGAATTTCAAACCACATGGAGTTGCCTGGCATCACATCGAGAAAGCAAAAGCGGAACAATTCGTGGTGGAGTAAGAGCGCTAATAGATATGTTAAAAAGCTATTATTGAAAAATTATCTCTTTTTTTGTGATTTTCTTAGAACACCGGCAGGTTTTACCCTGCGTCGCCTGGAGAAAACAAATGCGGAGCTAGTGAATAGCCTTTGGCCACATCGCGAACCAGGTTCGGTGGCACTTGTGGAGCTGCTAATTACCTACAATGATAGCGTTGGAGTGTTTGATAACGCTGGAAATTTAGTGGCTTGGTGTTTGATGTGCGTAACCGCTTTTGAAAGGACAAGAAAACATTGCAAATGCCTAGAATATGTCAAATAATTATAATAAATATCTTTATCTTCCAGCTTGCCGATGGGTGCTTTGGGTCTCTTGCAAGTGTTGGATACGCACAAACGTATGGGTTTTGGCAATCTTGCTGTTCGTCATATGTCAAAATTGGTTTCCGCTAAAGGCTTAGAAGTTACGGCACCGGTAGTATTCCAGAATGTGGCTTCACGTTCGCTTTTTAAAAAGTTAGGGTTTAAGCCAATAGGAAATGCATATTTTGTAGTGATACCGATCGGCAGTTAAACTAAAGCGATTATGCTGTAAAATATTTACAAATCGTCACTGAAATGGAAAAAGTCGTGAGTAATATTTTCTTTTTTTCATAAACCGTTGTGGGGAGCTGCAATTCGATAAAATCCATCATATCAATCAAAAAGTGTATTTAGAATTTTTTATGAGCTACGTCTTTTTGCATTTAGGTGACGATATGTTTTGTAAAGTAAATGGATGTGCCAATAAAAATTTGTAAATTTGAGCTTGTTTTAATTCAACAAGTATGTACTTACATATCTTGATTGCGTTAACACAATAAAAATATTTATTATTTTTAGTTTTATTTGTTTACAATTATAAGCTTAGGCACCACAGCACCGCAATAACAACGCTTGCGTGTGAGTTTGTCTGCTTTACTAAAGTACTGGAGAGCTACTCTGTAATGCGATGCGAAAGCGAAATGCAATGATATTTCGTAATGGTCTGATTATGGCAACTTAATGTAACTTACGGCTCTCACTTAAAAATTCTGTTAAATGGATGTTGCTTATATTGAACAGCCGAAACTTAACGTAACTTAATGCCATGTCGAAATCTGTTTCGTTTTGATTCTCTAAGTTCTACGTTCCGTTAAGTTAAGTTAAGTTGCCATAATCAGGCTTTAAGTCATACGCTGTGGCGATTGCCTATCGCATCGCATTACACTCATACTATAATTAAAAAAAACAATTTTAATAACACGGCGTAGTGTAAAATGATTTGTTATCGCTCGTGAAATGAAGTGTCATTAAGCCATTGAAAATGGAAATTGCATTTATCAAACGCTGTAAGTTACAAGCATAAACTTATTAAATATTTGCTTCATAAACAATTTGCAATTTATTTGTATGTATTTTGTATTCTTAAACATCAAAAACTTCCACAAGCCTATTGCTGGCGTTTAATGAGCTAAAGTACCTGTTTTTCTGCTAAACAGTCTAAGGTTGGCTAGAATTTTTAAATTGGTTCGGTCTAAGTACCGCCTAAGCAATTTTGGCCGAGTTCTCCAAAGCACGCCAGTCGTTTCTCTTCTGTGCCAACCGACGCCAATTGGAAACGCCAAGTGAAGCCAAGTCCTTCTCCACTTGGTCTTTCAAACGCAGACGGGGCCTTCCTCTTCATCTGCTATCACCAGCAGGTTCCGAGTTGAATACTTTCAGAGCTGGAGTGTCGGGGTCCATTCGAACGACGTGGCCAAGCCGCTTAAATTTAATACGCGGCACTATGTCTATATCGTTATAAAGCAGGAAGCAGGAAAAGGCAGAACAGACTTCGCGGTTCTTCTTACCGATGATGTCGATGTCATCGGCGTACGCCAGCAATTGCACGCTCTTATAAAAAATTTTTCTTGAGCGGTTCAGTTCTCCAACATCAGATAAAAGAAGTCACATGAAAGGGAGTCGCCCTGTCTGAAACCCCGTTGGTAGGAAATAGCTCGGATAGGTCTTTCCCAATTCTGACGGAGTTGGTGGTATTGCTCAACGTCATTTTACACAGCCGTATGAGTTTTGAGTGGATGCCAAATTCGGACATAGCGGCGTTAAGCAAATAGCCTTAGGTTGGAGTTATTGGGGTTTAGCACAAGAGAACTTCATAGGTCGCAGGGCGAGTATTCCTAACGTATTAATAAGAATAATAATCACAATAGTATGTACATATTTGTTAAGACATACATTTGTATAAGCCTGTTATGTGTTATTATACGCAGCTAACTTTTTTTCATTGTAATAGCTGTGTTTATTTTTACTAACTGTTATGTTATCTACATTTTGAATAAACTTTACATTGAAAAAAAAATATGAAAAACTACAAAAAAAATTCCAGGTATCCGCTGGGCATTTGGAACCAAGCGCATGCTTTGAAGTTGTGTAAAACTTTTGTTAACTTATTTTAAATTATGAATGAGACGGTTAGCATGTACTTAACCTTTCGAGGTATTTATTTTATTATACAATATTATTGAATAAAAATTAATAAAATAGCATATTGCATCGGCCGGGAATCGAACCCGGGCCGCCCGCGTGGCAGGCGAGCATTCTACCACTGAACCACCGATGCTGTTGGCAACCCGGTTTTAATTTTACTATAAAAAGTTAAAATATTATTTTTGTTGAGGGCAGTACGTGAGAGGGGGATAGCAAAAATTAATAGCGAAATTGATTTAGATATTAATATATTTCTTTGAAAATAATGAGATGAAGACTACTACGTCTTATTGATCGTGATTTTCGAGGTATGTGGGCTTTTGTGAAAGCCATAAACAAAACTAACTCAATACAAAATGGCGGGAAATCTAAAAAAAAATAGTAACAAATACTAGTCGTCACATTTCTGTGTTAATAATATTTTTATAGCAAACGTATGTTAATGAGAACTATGTAGAATTGTTCAAACGCCAAATTATTAGCTAAGTTTTAATTTTTTTCTAATAACAGCCGAATATACATATGCTTATTTATAAGTATATATGTATATATATATATATATGTAGGACTAAGTAAGAAAAAAGCATCATTTGCATCGGCCGGGAATCGAACCCGGGCCGCCCGCGTGGCAGGCGAGCATTCTACCACTGAACCACCGATGCTGCTGGCAACCCTATACTCTAACATTAAATTAAATTAATTCAAGTACATATTTATACTCTAAGCTGAAAATTACGAAGGGGTGTGTTTGTATGTGTGAATAATTTTAATGCTTTCTGCTTAAATGTGCTTATCAGATTCTGGTTTCGCCGAAATGCCTTTTCTATTAACTCCAAGATTTTTTAAACATAAAACCAGTTCTTGATTGAATAATTTTTACCTGTATATGTACATATGTATGTATCTAAAAAATTGAGCATACTTTCTTTTTCGAAAAGTTGTTAAACATATATTTTTTCGTTTTCACGTAGTAGTTTTCTATTTGAAGAAATGAATTGTTTAGTAATTAAATTTTTAAAAGAATTAAAGGAAAAAAAAAACAATTGCATCGGCCGGGAATCGAACCCGGGCCGCCCGCGTGGCAGGCGAGCATTCTACCACTGAACCACCGATGCCTTAGAATACAGTTAGGCCAAAAACAAGTTTCTCCACAGAGCCTGTCCAATGCTACCGCAGCGATCTTCAAACGGAGAGAAGTATCATTTTGCTAATGAAATGTTAACTTGTAACTAAGTGGTGGGCTCGAACGGCGATCATAAGCAAAAGTTAACAGTGCAGCAGCTGTTAGGTTTAATTAAATAACTAATTTTGCTTTCGGCCAATTTATTTGCTAAATAGTATCTCGTCGATCTGCAAAATAACAAGGACAGATCATGTTGTAAATACTAGCCTAACTAATGCAGGGCACATGGAGTTTAACAGCAATCATTTAAGTAGCTTACAGTGCCGCCACTGTCATTAAGAGAATACCGTAAATTTCATGTTAACTAACATTAAAATTAAAAGCTTTAAGTGCTTAATTTTTGTTCATGTTTTACAGTCTATGTACAAAGTATGAAGATTAAACATGTTTAGAAAGCTTTGAAGAGCTCTGCTCACGGGCTAGGCGAAGCCCATTACTGATTTAGATAGATATGTACATATGGTTGGTATATGTAGTATGGAAAGGTCGTATCTCAAATCGTCGCTGAAATGCAAAAAAGCCTCAACTAACTATAATTTTTCATTGCATAAAACGAAGTGGAGACACATGTAATTGCATGTAATTTAATGAAATGTCGCATAATCAAACAAAAAGTGAATTTTAGATTTTTAGTTAGTTACGGGTCATTGTATTTTCATACTATACTAACGGTATGTGAAAAAATCGGTAAAGCATCGATGTTTTAATTCGATATATGGAGCTATCATCGATTTAATTTTGCGAAACATCGATTCTTCAAATATAAATAGTCTAGATGTACAGTAGGGTGTAGAGTAGGGTGGGTCGATTCCGGACTTTTTTCGATTCGAGATTTCTAATAGTGCGGAAAAGTTGCCTTAGTACTTACTGATTCCAATGCAATTTTTCGTTTTGAGATCGGACTGCATCTTCAACCCCAACTCCGGCCTTGAAATTTCAGAAATTTGCCTAAAATCGTGAAATTGCCTACCTAGCGCCTGAAATACGCCTCTCATGGCAAAATGTATAAAACAAAA